CTAATTGAACTTGTTGAAATTGTTCAAGCGTTAGTGAATTGTTGCCTGTAGTTTTTGTGAAGGCAGAAGCAACCTCGATGCCACTGGAATACGGAATAATTGACAGCATTAGCAATGAGACGATGAACATCATTTTCACTCAGCAAATACGTAAGTTGTCGAATACGTTGACGTTATTTTTTTCTCACAACAAATATAGAATCGACAGCATCAGTTACTTGAAAAGTTATACATTTTTATTTACGTGCTTTTTTTTCTCATAAACATCAAGTTTCGGCGATTACTTCATCTTTTTTGCTCCAATAGAACTGCACATTATGACCCATGCGGTACATATTATTTTAAGTGCTCAGATCAAACAAATCGGACAGTAGAATTGTGCAGAAGTGTGACGAAATTGTAAGAAAATCAGATGCAATCGTGCACACATTGATATGTTGCCCTGAAACTACTACTTCTGGCAAAAACGCATCTTATAATTTTTATATGAACGTATTTTAAGGTCTGGTATGATCGACCAAGATCATGTCGTATGATTTTCTCAGCTAGTTGCAAGATTTCGTAGGATTTCTAACAAAATCAACCAGATGATTTATTCAATTGGTTCTTCTATTAGGATGATTAATCAGATTTGGGGTACAGGTGTTGGATATCAGTGTCGTGAAAACAAGGCCAACACCCACACCCACACCCTATTCGAAAAGCTCATAAGAGACCTGAAAATACAAATAAATAAATAAATAAATAAGACATGACTGACAAATTTTCTTATTTCGAAATGCAATTGACACCACTTTTAAAATCGTTAACAATTCTATAGCATCAAATGTGAAAATGCTCACGCTATTCGGTCTCGATATTTTTTTCATTGATTTGAAGAACGAACTGAAAGAAGAAGGGTGTGGGTGTGAGTGACCTGTGTGAGTGTCCTTACATCCACATCAACATCAATACTCATACCCTGACCCACACCCACACCACACCCTGTTTATTTTATTTAGTCTGTGCGTAATCTCCGTGTTAAATATGCAAGGACAATAAAGAAAGCAAAACATAACAGCATCAACACTGTCATCAGTTTTTTCGAAGACAATGATTGCGAGGACGTTTCTCTAAGATCTTTGAAAAATTGTACTTCGTATGGCGAATAAGGTTTGCCGGTTGCATTGAAAATGTCATGAAACCACACAAGTGGAATGCTGGCATTGACAGGCGATCCCCATGGAAAGTACGTTTGGGTTTTACCGGCCACAAGTCCCCAGTTGACAGCACCGATGTTCTCCTTGTGAAAGAAAACGGTGTGCGTGTGAAAGGTGCTACCGATCGTTCGAGCCATGTATTCAGTACAAATTAATGGCCGATTGAACTGCCGCAGTTCAGCAACTTGTTCCATGAGATTGTCCAGGGGACTATAATTATGAAAAGAAATGATGTCGGATGCTTCTAATTCAAATTGAGCTAATGATTCGTCCAGAGGCCCAGCAATGCCAATTGTGAGTGGTTGATAAGGATCGGCTGCGAGAGCAGCAGAGTAGATTTCGCGAAGAAGAGGTAAAACGATGGGCACTTGATGGCTGCCCTGAGGTTCATTGTACAGATCCCATATGACCACGCGAGAGTCGTTGGAGAAGCGAGAGAGAATATCGATCGTATATCTAATAAAAATAAAAGTCATGTGATTTCTTTTTGAACAGAATAAGGCATTGTTTGAAACATGAGAAATCTAGTTATTATTCATAAAGACTAGATATTTTTTGCTCGAACATCGTCTCAATATTTGTAAAATGTTGCCTCAGCCCTCGAAAATTTCTAACATCAAACTACAACTCTTAGTTGATATTATTTCTCTGACCACTGATACTTTTCTACTTACCGTTTCAAGAGAGGCCATTTGCTCTGGTCCAAAAGCCAAGCTTGTCCTGGGCATCGCACCCACTGTGAATTATGCTGACCAGGTATAGGTTCTGGTTGTGGACCTAATTTGGGATCAGGTCGCCAACATTCATCAAAGAGAACAAATATTATTTTGATATTAAATCGATCAGCGATGGTGAGAAAGTCATCAATCTTTTGAAAATAAGCCTTAGCATCTTGTTCATAGAAAAGAACATGGAGAAAAACACGCATCACATTCATATTGATCCCCGAAGCCCATCCAAGTTCGCGCTTCATAGTAGATGAATCAAATGTTTGCCACATATCAATTATGTTGACGGAGGACGAAGGTACAAAATTGCTTCCAAAGTACCAAGGCTGTTCGGCGTACCAGGCATTCGCTTCTTCAGGTGTCCAACGAGCGCCATCCACCTCGACTTTGATGCATCCACACATGATTAATAAAACGAAAGACAAAAGCATTTTGTTCTCAAGGACAAGTGATCACGCGCGTTATAACGACAAGGTCGAGTGTAAGATAAAATAAAATGAGGTAACTATACAGCACAATGATGAATATTTTTTTGAAAAGAAAGACAGTTAGTCACTGACAAAGTATTAACGGTTCATGTACTATCACATATTAATGTTCAAAACCACCTGGGTGTTTCTATAAAGTCTAAAACACCATTCTAGGATCTCATGGTACTGGCTGTTGAAGCAAACGATATAACTGAATTGCGTAAGACGGTCAATTTCACGTAGCGACAACTTCAAAGATGCTTTTTTACGACAGAACCTAAAACAAATTTGAATATCTTTCACTTCTCGAGTTCCAACATGGATGCTATTCACGTTCAACAAATACCATTTGTTCTATAAGACGTGTTACAGCCTTATGTAGGCAAATATTCATGTAAAAAAACCTGGAAAAATCTGATGTTAATCGTTTTTTTTGTGATTAAAATCAATTAAATTTCTAAAAATCGATTTTAATGAGATTATTTGATTTTTAACCCTTTGATTATCATACTATAAAAAAAGCTACACCTGTTTTATAACTATTTTTCACAGAATAATTCATAAAAATTAGCATGTAATCTTTTCATTCAAGTATAACGAAGTTCAATATAACTTACATTAAGTAAATCACGTGCAAGAACACATAAAATATTTTTGACATATATTCCTATGTCTAAAAAAAGCTAATTTAACAGTTTACTCGAATTCAATGCAACAAAAAATAATTTAGTAATAAAAGGGTTAATCCAATAACATCGATTAAAATTAGATTTTTTCCAGGTTCTTTCACATGGGCAACGCATTTACTGGTAAGCATTTCAGACGTTTGTAACAGAATGAGACGTCCACACGTGTTATACAATGCATGGTATTTTATAATGCATGTTCCTGTGGCGTCACCATATCTAACACGGTTGTCATGAACATTTGCCTCTCACCATTTTTATCATTTGTATATTCTTCTTTCCAACTTTGGTGAATATAGTGATTTCAAAGTATTTCGAAACGGTATTCTGCCGACTGATATAATCTAATTTTTCCTGTGAAAAAAAAGAAGCTGTCGTCACAGTGCAAGTAGTCCTACAGATCTAGTCTCATTTGATGAGCTGAGATGTTAGGAGATCAAGATGAAGATATGAAAGTGAGTGAAGACAAAAAATGTATCAGAAAAGCAGTGCTAAAATCTGTTCATTTTCATTCCCAACGATCTGTTTATTAAGACTACCCTGATAAAATCCGACCAAATTTGTGCGACTATTTACAATTTCAGAACAAATTTTACAATTCGGGGTAAACGTGAATTTAGTCATCTTGTTGCATGACTACGACTCGTATTATCCAAGTGTCAGTTGTCTTCGTCCTTCTTCTATAAATGGGCATGAAGTAAAACAAATAGGAAAAAAAAGCTACGTTTTAAATTCAAATGAGAAGCATAAACAACTCAACTCCATTCACCTTGATTAGTTACCATACAGAAAATTGATTCGCCTACCTTTCCTCTAACGATTACAGCTGAGTTTAATAGATGTCAGACACCACTACGAAGCTAACGGCTGGCACATAAAAAATGGCAGCTTGAGTATTTTTCGAATAACTTTACCATTTTTCATCTGTTTAGTCTAATCCTTTTTTAAAAAGATTCATTTTCCAATTCTGCACAAAACTGTTTAATTCATTGTTTTATATGACATTTCGATAAACTTTTAGATAATGAAAAGTAAAGACGTTCGACACCTCGTACTTCCAAAGTTCCAAAATAGTAATGTTTCCAACAAAACTTTTTCGGAATTTAAGTGGCGCAATCAGTTTAAAAACAGTAAAACAATGGTGTAACATGAGAAACAAATTGCTCTATCGAATTTTTATATGCTCTCGATAAAACATGAGTTGCACGAACTGAGGTTGTCTTTAGAATTTATAGTTTGGTTAGGCGCGTACTTAATAGATGTTACACCATCAGTTATTTTGGTTAAAGGTACGGTAAACCATGATCGTTACGTCAATAAGATGCTTTCAGTGGCATCGAAATATGTTAATACTGTATTTGAAGATAACTGAGTATTTCGGCAAGATGATTCAAAGCCACATATGCATAAATTAACACCACAGTGGTGTAAAGACAAATTTTCATCATTCATCGAGAAAGAGTGTTGGCCTTCTAACAGTCCCACTTTAAATCCTTTGGACTATAGTATATGGAATGAAATCGTTCATGTCATGAACTGGAGCAAAATTAATTCACAAAAAAAGCTTGTTATCGCAGCTCCTTTGGAGTTGAAATGTGGAACTCACTATATCCTTCAAAACTTGTCATCCTAATACATCATTTGGGCGTGGGTGGGTGTGGGGGTGTTGGTGTGTAGGTGTGGATCTTCTCTTGGTCATCCCCACTTACATCCACACCCACACACCCACACCCAATTTAATACATAATCCATGTCTTGGCTAAATAAAATAATCGATATTTTAGTTTTTCGTTTATGTTGCAATTAAGAATTTTACCTTGTATAAACTTTTTGTGCTTCCATAGCTCGACGAAATTCTTTTGAAGAATTAAATCCATCTTTATTTGTATCATATTCTAGAAAAGCTTCCGATGTTGTTCAATCTTTTATCTAAAATAAATAGGCTATAAAATTTTATTTATCACAAAAAAAAACTTACTTGGTCCATTGAGAACATTTCCTAAAAATGAAAGATAAGATTAAATATTAATAAATAATATTTTATTGAATACCTTCAAGCATTGATAATAACATAATAATCATACTTTTAGTAATTTCATAAATTCACGTAATAATTCAATTTGTGTTGGATCCTAGATAATGAAAACTTCTTATTAATAGATAAATCAATGATATTTTACTTGAAATAATTTTCTTTGCATACATGCAGAAATATAGAGAAATTCAGCAATTGCATCGCATAAACGACTATTTGCTAATGCTAATTGATCTTGTGGACATGGACCCTAGAAAATAATTTTATATTTTATATACAAAATTTACTTAATAATAACTCTTATCAAAATAAATCTTTTTGTTTTGATATATCAAACCTGAATATATTCCGTTAATGTATTAAAAACTTGTTTAGCAACATTAATAGCTCGACAAAGATACTCTTTTCTATGTGCATCAACCGTTTCTTTGTCTGAATAATGCCAATAAAAATACATTAATAATTCCTAAAATTAAAATAAATACTTCATAAATTTTTTTTTCTTCGTTTTTTTGTATTACTTGTAAACTACGTAAATAATCAACAGTACAAATAATAATATTGACATTTGTACTGCTTCCAGCTCGTAAACGAAGATAATTTTGAAATTCAAGATGATATCCTTCACATAAAAGTTGACAAAAACGAAATAATGATATTATAAAATCAGCATCATGTAAATTGTTTTCTCCAGCTATGCCTTCCGAACAACACCTATATATAATAAAAGTATTTAATATAAACATAACAAAATTATTCAATTAAACATATTAAGTACTTCAGCTTTAATACAACGTTCAAATGTATCAAGATCAAGTACACTACAATTCGCCATTAATGTTGCTAATAAAGTAAAACATCCAACATCTTTTATTTCTTTTAAATAATTTAACATTCGCTAAAATTAATTCAAAATCAACAACATAGAAAAATAAGAAAATAAATATGTACTTTTTGAACTTCTCGATTACCACCATGTAATAATGATATACCAAGTTGTAATGTACGTCGAAGCATTTCATTATTTTCACCTTAAATTTGTTTAAATTGAGTAAAAATAAATAAGATTGATAAAAGAAATACCTTTACTTGCACTTATATATAATAATACAGTTTCAGCAGCACCACGATTTGCTAATCGATTTTGTTCATAGAGTCATTTTTGTTTTTTCATTTCTTGTTCCTTAAAATATTTAATTTTCTAATTTTTTATCAAAAATAAAAATGTATATTTTGATTATCTTAGCTGAAATGATTTGACTTCTTCTGCTCCTTCATCATTATCGTCGTCAGCAATAACACAATTCTTTAAACAAAATCAAAAATATATATATATATTAATATACATAGACCACTAAATTATTCGACCAGATTTCTTGAGTAGAGAACTTTAATTTCCAACTAGAGTTAAGTGAAACTTTTTGAAAAACTCCAAATCTCAGCTTTTCAGTTCCTAATATATGCTTTTAGAAGAATCAACACATTAAAGCGTTATAGGCCATAGTCTGAGTTAAATTCGAATGAAGATTTTCTGATTCATTTCAGTTAACAAATATCTTAGAGTACTAGAGTTTGCTCTATCATTCTGTGTAAATCAAATAGACCTACAACAACATATTCTCGGAGATGAAAAACTTAGTTTTAGATTTTCTATGTGAAAGAAGTTTCTTTTAATATTATGAGGTGCGATTTTGATAATAATTTATACAAAAATCCACATGCACCCACTTCGTCAAATTCCTAGAGTTCAATGGACTGCTGAAGTGTGTATATTAATTTTGTAATATAAAGTGTTTTTGGTTTGGCTATTATTTTTTTTTCTAGTTGATTTTGTCTGCTGCCCTCTCTCTCGTAGTGTCAGGATGGACAGATACACTTTTGCAGAGACTAAAATTTTGATCTTCTTTTCATATTCTTTTTAGTCAGCAATCTAAAAAGAAAATGCTAAATAATAGTATTGTCTGAGTATTTTTCTGCAGCGACAATCATTTTGATAGGTGTTCTTTGTCTATGTATTGTAGTATGCAACTGAGACGCTGGTGATATTTGTATAGTTCTTCACGTGCTTTTAATGACAGAAATAAATGATATCGTTTATCACTTTCTTTCTGTTGTGCTGTCAAATGGTGTGCTTCGCAAATTAAAGGTAACATTTTCATATATACTGACAAGATTTATAGTAACATCATTGATCAACCAAAGAATCTAATAAATTGAAGTATTGGGAAACCCTCACATACCATGAGCAAACTTAGATAAAAGATTTTTATAAAATTGTCTAAATATTTGCTTTTATATCAATAATGAATCGAGAGCTAACAACAACCTGAAAGCAGAAGAAGAAAATAATATCAGTTTTTATTCTTTGTACAAGGTGATGCAAAATATTTTGCAAGTAGGGTACGGCTTCAATGACAAATGATATAAAAATATATAATTCATAGGATAATTATAATCTATAAAATTATAGAAGTTTCTATTGAGTGTGTCATGATGAATGAGTTCCTTATTATTTCCTATTTTTCTCTTGTTCTTGGAGGATCATAAGCACGGTGCTTTGTTTAAAAGATGCGTCACAAAATACTCTAGAAAACCTGACCTATACTTTTGTTTTTAGAACTTCAATTAAGAGAACTATGTAAACTACACGAAAGACGGAAAAACTGAAAACTTTGTTTATTCAATATTTTTTTCGACTTGAACTTTTTTCTTCTGCTATTATTTCCGTAAAAAGTGAGGCAAATATGAGCACCCTGTTCTTTGTGCACTTTCGACTATGCTTTTTCTCGTGGTCTGTAAAAGAAACGTTTTAAAACAGATGGTGTGTTGAAAAAGGAAGTTTCAAAAAAATTGTCCCCATTTTCAACATTGAGCCCAAGTAAAAAAGCCAAAACTAGTCGAAGTTCTGATTTTGTAGTTAAGTGGTGAGGAGCGATCATTTCTGATCAAAACAAAACAAATCTTGATGAAAAGAAAGCACAACTACATTCTGAATGATGCATTCGATACAAATTTCTGTAATTCTACGGCTCAAAAAATTTTATGAATTGTCAATTATTCTCGTTCATCCCGCTTTCGATGAACTCTCATTTGGTATATAATTCATTTTTATATCACTATTGGTTAGAGCTGTACCCTCTTGCAAAAGGTTTCACACCATTATGTATACCACATTGTAATTGTTACTTTTTTTTCTCCATTTGTATCGTTAATCGTATCATTTATATGAAAAGTACACGTTTTTATATGCAACTAGGAGAGATAAGAAAAGAATGAGAGAAGAGTCAAGGAGAGCGAGTTGACTCATGTTACATTGTTACAATCGAAAGAAGAATAACGTATGTGATATGAAGATATGACAAGGAAAGGTTGAGCATTACGTATGAACAATACATTCAACCAAGTAATGTGATTAGATAATGGTGCACAATAAGATTCATCCAAAGAAGAGTTTTTCTCTCAGAAAGGTTTTATCTGATAAATGTTTTTGACGGACAACTATGAAAAATTCTATCCATAGTTTTATTGCAGTAGATATTCAAAGGAATTTTTGGCAGCCGTTAATATATCTTATCGTATGTTAAAAAAACATGTTTCTCCAAATGATAGTCATTCGTAAGAACATTTGGAATTACGTATGAAATCAAATTTTTACATGTTAAAACCCTTAAACTAGCATTTTTATTTGAGTTTTTGTTTCCGGTTTTTCCTATTTTAAAACTCTAAATGATATGAAAGTTAACAGACGAAAGAAAACTAAAGAATATGTGATATATTTCGCGTGTTAGATATCAATAAGCGCTCCTGTCTTTTGTCAAATATCTGAATGCCTAAATAGTCGACTTTTTCGATCCAAGCCTCATTCACTAGAAGAAAACAAGGCTACACATACATATCAAACATATGATTTTATATCTGTAGCCGCTATGTTATACAGTCATTTTTTAAAATAGGTATTCAAGAGATCATGCCGTTATTGATATTTGGTAGTTCCGATCATCTTTCGTAATGTTCTGAGAGATTTTTTGTAGCTTTTTAGGAAGCTACTGTTTCACTAATGAGGGAACATTCCCAACTGATAAATAGTTTTTTGACTGGTTTCTAGTGAGTGTATTACAAAATTATCAAATTTTCTCACGGCTCTTTTAAAGAGCTGAGATTTTCAAGGTAAATTCCTGCTTCATGTAAAAGGTAGAGAAACAGTAGAAAAATTAATCTTCATATTTCGACCTCTAATTTTTAGCCAGAGCTCGAAACAATTCAGCTTTCTCTATTAAGTTTTTTTGGGATATAACTGTCGCAAGTTTTCCAATGTTTACCATGAATTTTGTATTCATGGTTTCTAGCTGCGGCTAAAATCAGAGGTCCAAATATCGAGATTAATTTTTCGGCTGTTTCTCTACTTTTTACATGAACCTTTTTCGTAGATTAGTGATTTTCTACACAGTGAGCTGAAAATGTTTTTTTCTTTGAGTTATCGAATTTCTAATTTATGATAGAAATTTACGTTGAAAACTCCAGCCCTTTAAAAGAGCAGCGAGAGAATTTGATAATTTTGTGATATACAAGTTATTGATCGATTCCAAATATGACCATGGGGTTTATTCATAGTCCTTTGAAGATCAGATTTCCTGAAAAATCAGTCTTTCAGAAAACATTTAATGCTTTTTTTCTGTAAATTCTGTAGCTTTGTAAAGAAAATTCGTGTAGAGCTCGAAGATGTCTCATTTTAATCAAAAATTTGCGTGCTACAATATTACCTTGTTAAAAAAGATTTTGATTTATTTTTTTAGAGTTTCTGAAAGACTGGTTGCACATCTACTAGATTTCGATCAAAAAGCGAATTATCAATTGGAGATATTCCCTCATAAACGTTTATTGCACATCATAAAGTTTCTATATTTATCTACAGATGAAAGTATATAAATGGTGAAATTTTTGTATTTTTCAGTCCTGTTTCTTGAAATATATAGCGATGATGCTGAAATGTTGAAACTGTCCCTTTGACTAACCGTGTTATGGAAAACTTTGACAACGTCGCATTAAAGTGTAGATTTCGACTAAAATTTCCAGAGATGCAGATTTGAACGATAATATATGGGATTCTAAGAGAAAAGCTCAGTTCGCTTTTCTGACAAACTGTACACAAATGTTTTTCACTTTAGATTTTTTTGTCACTACTGCTGGTCATCTACGTTAATCTGTCAAAAAAATCTGAACAATGACTGACCATAAATATGTCTTTTACGGAACTATAATAGATACACCTGATCCATTGACATTACGAATTAGAAAACAGCATGTTTGTGTTGTAAACAAAGGCAAAATAGAAATGATTGAACCGTTTGCCAGTCGAAATCTTGACGAATACCAAAATTTCATGTTCATCAAGTTAAGTGAAAGTCAATTTATCTGTCCTGGCTTTGTCGATTTGCACTGTCATGCTCCTCAGTATCGTCAAGCAGGGAGTGCAACAGAAGTTCCTCTTCTCGAATGGCTCCGTAAATTCACTTTTCCAAACGAAGCTCGATGTTCTGATCCTGTATACGCTCGGGATCTTTATACGAAACTGGTCTCTAGATTATTACGCAATGGTACGACGACAGCTCAGTATTTTGCGACGATAGACCTTGAAGCAACAAAAATTCTAGCTGACATTTGTCAAGAAAAAGGACAGCGAGCATATATCGGCAAAGTATGTGCAGACCAAAATTCACCAGATGTTTATATCGAGACGGCAGATGAAAGTGTTCGAAATACAGAGGAATTTATCAACTATGTTCACCATATGCAAAAAGGAAGAGACATTGCTGGAGCAAATGCTTTAATAAATCCCGTTATTACTCCGAGGTTTATACCGACATGTTCGATAAATTTACTTTCTCAATTAGGACAATTAGCGAAGAAATACGATGTTCACGTACAATCACACATTGCAGAAACAGCAGATCAGGTTGCATTCGTACATGATCTTTATCCAAGTATTGGTAACGGGCGAGATGTAGCTATATTTCGCGAAACTGGCCTCTTGACAAACAAAGCAGTTTTTGCTCATGGAGTTTATTTAGCAGACAACGAAGTTGACGAAATGGTTATAAGTGGAAGCGCGGTAGCCAGTTGTCCAGTTGCGAACTTTCTTTTCTCCAAGGGAGTCACGGCAATAGAACATCTTAAAAGAAGAGGATTAAAGATTGGTTTGGGAACGGATATTGGAGGAGGATATTCAAGCAACATGCTTCCTGTTGTGCGTGCTGCTGTTTTGGCAAACAGAACGATGGATTTTGTCTCGTTTGATCGTTCAAATGCTATATTACCAATTTTTTCGGAGCATAAAGATGCTATTATCGATTTTAAATTTGCTTTCTATTTGGCCACTCTTGGAGGTGCACAGGCTTTGAATATTGATTCACAAATTGGAAGTTTTGAAGTAGGAAAGCAATTCGATGCATTACTTATAGATTGTAACAAGGAAAATCAAGCGTTTGATTATTGGAAAGAGGATGAAATGAACATTATATTTGAGAAATGGGTGAATTCCGGAGATGATAGAAATATTACTGGGGTTTGGATTCAGGGAGTAAAAGTAGGATGTACTTAGTATAATATAAAGATTGATATTTCTGTCAATTTAGTAATATGTGACATTTTTTCATTTCTACATAGCTATTAAAAAATTTTGTAATGTTAGTTTTTCATTTTAATAAACGAACTAAAATGTAAGCATCTTCACAAAGTGTGAAATATAACAGCTAATGATCAAGATAAATGCAAAAAGAGTATTATTTAATATTATTGGTGTAGGATGTGGCTTTAGGTGTTGGTCTCAATGTTCAAAGAGAGAAGGTTAAACCCAAATCGATACACATATTTGACACCAACATTCACACCCATACTCACTTAGTTAATCAGTTTTTAGCTATGGGTGTCATTCGCTATTGAAGCCTTTACTTCCTTTTGTCTTCTCATAGAAAGTTAAAAAAATCAAAAACAACGGTACTGCATAAAAATTACGTACAGTCCATTCTGTTGTTTGAATGAGAGCATTCACTGTCGGAAGAAGTCATATCAAAATAAACCGTTATTAATCTAATGACAAAAACACTTTGGGGGAGACAATCAGAAAAAAAATTAATTTGTTATGGCATCATTTGATTTTAATAAAATTTGATGTAGCCTACAGAAAAACTAAACTTTTCTTAATCTTTCCTTCAAGGATGACCATAGATTCAGTATACTAGTTCATTATCTTCATATGTTGACTCTCAGACGCTTCCTCAACCGATCTCATTCGACTGTCTACTTCATGCGTTGTCCCATAAGATGAATACTGGAAAAGAGTCGTGGTTAGATTTTATGTCTTAACTGTATAAGAATATTCGCAATAGGTCTCATAAGCAATTGGAATGTAACTGTCATTACCACAGCTCCACCGTCTTTGTATTTTGTCAGTAATGCCAGTGTGAATTTCATCGGTGGCTGATGGATCACTACTGCTTCGTTTATTTTAAGTTTTAGGTTGTAACATAAGTTCTGCAAGTTTCTTTGCTCGGCAACAAATTTATTTGATAACAAAGATACACCCACATCCAATTTGCAGAGCTTATGTTACAGTTCAATAGAAAAATATCAATATGCTACAATTTGAGAAAAGCTTCTATTTCAGTTCATGACTACTGGGAGCAAAGAGTATGGCTTTCGGATGTTACATATGTCTATCGATTCGGAAAATTTGTGAGGTCTTCAGTTTTTTGAATGATTCTTCTCGACATCCAGCTGCTGCAAATTGTCAAGCTTTCTTTGATGTTCAGAGAAATGTATGACGCGACTATTATTGCTTGACTTAGATTCATTTCCTTGAAGTCGAGTCAATCTAGATCTTCCATGTTGTTCATTGAATGATTGATTCAATCGAGAGTGAGTTGGTAAGTGAGGAGATGGCGTAGAAAATGTATTTCGTCTTTCTTTGCCATCAACCTCTATATTGATCCGTTGACGTCGTTCGCGATCAAAAAGGTCATACCATTTTGGTGGAAGTAACTCAATAAGACTTTCATAGAATGAGATTTGTTCTTTCTGTGCTGATGCTTGTGCTCCATATGGTTGGTACCGACACAAGTCGACATATGCTGACGGATCTTCTTCGTACATATCCAGAATACTCTTCACTAAGCATATTACTTTCTCTTCGCTCTCAGGTGTTATCAATTCTCGATCCTGGGCATGAAAAACATTGAGATCAAAGTCTTTGGCATACGTCTGCAAATGATTCAAGTCCGTAAGACTGGCCGGATAGAATTCGTTGTTCGATCGACCAGAGACCGATGATATTTGATCTTGGTCTTTCGAGGATGTTATCAGTCCTTTCGAATGCTTGGCCATTGATTTACTCAATACGATGCTCTCACTTCCCAGTAAACTTAGTCTCTTATTGTGAACAGTACCATTTTCACGAATATTCCTGTTATAATCACGGGCTACTTTTACATCATGATGAAAGAATTCCACGATTTCTTTGCTGACCTGATGCAACGGTACTACTTCTTTGATACGAAGAATAACCAAGGCCATGACAATAATACATAGAATATTCACTACGGCAAGAAGAAAACTGCAACTACCGAGTATTGCCGCTTCATGAGGCATATAACATGAATAGTATGGCAAGTAATCATTGTCGACATATCGAGAGCAATTGATGATAGGATCGTTGGGATGAAGTCGATTTCGAAATTGAAAAAATAGCTCACTCGTTTGGACATTCGAGTTTTTACTTACTATAGTACGAGCTACACTTGTTATCGTATGAGAAAGTATGGAATATGCAAGGAGAAGGCCACAGTTTACCGCCGGAGGTAGAAGAGAAGCTAAAAAACTTCGTAAAAGTTAAACCATGGGTTTATAAAGATTTACGTACCAGATATAGCCACACCGACCAATGAGCCTTTGATAAATACGAAAGATAGTATTAAAATATTATACAGTTTGTTCTTACCCGTGTTTCCACCAAGAATAGATAATGCAACACCAGCACCACTCGGCAAGGCAATCAGAACACCTACCCAAAGACGTTTGAGATCACCCCGACCTTTCATTTCTGAAGTAGGAAAACTTGTTGAACTTCCCCAGCTGGTTTCAGCATATGTAGTACATAGACTAGATCGGAAAAGATCAATATGTCAATAGTATGAAAATCTACTCACCCAATGATAAAACCCCATAAGACACAGAGAGCAAGACCAATCAACTCATTTTGAATGCCACGTCGCCACAGTGAATGTTCACGTACTGACAAACCAAACACGATGCCCATGATCGGATTCATCAGTGGACTGACCAGCATACTGGCTACAATGATCACAGAGGAGTTCTCTAGAAGTCCGAAACCGGCGAGCATCGAAGCAAGACTGATTAAAACGACATAATCGAATGAGAGTTCTGTAGCAGCTCGAATACCAGCGACTACTTGATGCACCATTAGTCGAGCTCGAACACTTTCCTTAAATTTGGATGCGTTGATACGTTTTTGAACTTTGCTTTTTGACGCAGAATCTTCAGATGATGCTGGTTGGCAACCATTAGCAAGATTAGAAGTACTTTCAACTGTCTTTATGTCCGTGTTCAAGATGTTATTTGACGCAGGATGGCGGTTTCCCATAACCACAGTAGCAGGAACAACACAAACTTGACTGCCATTCTTGATACCGATATCTCTTTGATTCAAATCAAGTAATATTCGATCACTCTTAGCTCCGAATTCAGCATGAAACGTGATTTGATAAGTTTTTTGATCGGCAGATGGTATCCAAACTGGCTTGAGATCGACTCTATCAGCTAAATACCTCTTCAACTTGACGCATAGTGATGAAGATGTCTCCTAAACATGAAAGTAGAAACGCTCAGATTAGTAACACTGTTTGATCAGAAAAATGTTACCGTTGCCTCTTGGATGTTGCCTTCTTCTGTTTGATCATTAGGGATGGTAACAATGAAAAGTGCATAGTCTGCCGCCATGAACAAATTCTTATTGTTTCGTGTGTCAACTATCTAAAACAGATACCATTGGAGATATCCTGTGAAAAATTTTAATTAATTCATCACATTCATTTTGTATAGTGTACTTAACGATCGTCAACCAGTGACACGATTTTTGAGGTCTCATATATGAATACGACATTAGCCTCCAAGAATTGAAACAGTTGGTGGTCTTACTGGCTTCACACTGACTAGAACTTGGTATATCAGTATGAAGTACATTCTTTAATCTCAGCCTGCCAAAATTGAACGCAAGCTATGTAAATATTATAGGAACTTTTCAAGAATGATAAGTGAAATTTACAATTGTAATAAACACTTCTTTTCCTTGAATGTTCCTGATTTATTCTGAATGAAGAATTTATTGAATGGATATATAATTGTTCGCCATTAACAAAAGTTACACTCAACAGATGCTTGTTCCATTTATTTGACTTATATTGTCAATGAAAACAATGATACATTCTTCTATAATTTAAACAGTGACTCTTTCAATGGTTTCAATCATTCTTTGTGTGTTTTCATGTTACATTCGACATGCGACTATGAAAAGACACTTTCAAATGATTAATGTCAATATAAATCACACGTTTTGTTATACAATGTGTTACGAATATACTAATACAGTTGCTAAAGAATATGTAGTCCATGTCTGACTACAGTCGAGATTTTACTAAAATAAATAAAACAAACTGACGTATGAGCAACAAAGTTTTATCATCAAAGAGTTAATCCAGATGTATATCTAACTTATGCTATTTCAGGTGGTATTTACAGAGAAGCTATTAACGATTCTCATAAGAGTATTAATATGGCACAAGTTCTTTACACTTTATATAATCTGAACTTGAGCAAACACCCTATTCGTTTGTTGCACAGCATGATCGGTTGGCTGTGCTTCTCAATTAAAAATTTGATAATAAAACATTGATGTTGATATTACTTGTTGTTTTATTTTTCTTACTAGGAAATATTCCCAAGTGGTATTACATTAATTGCTGATACAGTTTTCAGATCGAATAGACGTCATGGAGGATCACGTATCGGTATAAAACGCAAAGATTGGCGTATACATACATTGTAAAAAAAATTGCAGAATAATAAACTTTTAAAGAACTTATGAAAGTGAACTGTATAGAAAAACCTTTTTGTACTGTTTATGAAATCTTCGTGAGTCCTTTACAAAAGGTGTATAATATTCATAAATTTTTAAAAGGTTTGATATTTATTGCCCTTTCGTAGATACTTCATAAGGGTACATAAACTTCTTAAATGCTTTCATGTAATCTTAAAACCAATAATCGACAGAATATCTGAGATGATTCATCAGCATCAATAAATGTATCAATGATTTATGGAAAGATCTCTGAAAGGGTTCATAATCGTCATTAACCGTGCTAAGTAGGGGCAAGCCTTTATCTTTATTGTTTCTTAACACTGAAGGACGAAGATAAATAAATCTTTTATCTTTAGGAAATAATAGTAAAAGAATGAAAAAAAATCATCGTTTATAAAACAACGATCAAGATAAGTAAAGATTTATTTTTTAAAAACAAAGATAAACTA